TTCTGCAGGAGTACTAAGTGCTCTCAACCACTGCGAGCCATCCATCACTCTAGCCCATGGTTCTGAACCTTTTCGATGCCAAGGTCATTCCCCATTCTATCAGCTCCATTTCTGTCCTCACGCTGCAGCAAGCATGCGCTTCTATGTATCTATAGCAATCCATGCTATAAAAGGACTCTGTTTATAATCTCTTTGAAAACTTGTTATATTTTATTCATTTGTTCTTTATTATTTTTTGCTTTAAATTTTTAATTCATTTTACCTACAAGCCACGGTCCCCATTCCCTCTCCTCCTCACGCTTCCCTTCTTCCCCCTCACCCCATTCCCTGCCCACTCCTCAGAAAGGGTAAGGCCTCCCATGGGGAGTCAAGAAAGCCTGGCATATCAAGTTGAGGCAGGACCAAGCCCCTCCATCCTGCATCAAGTCTGAGCAAGACATGCCACCATATTATTCATTTGCTTGTTTATCCGTGTGTGTACGGATGTGGGTGTGGTCAGTGAACTCCTTTTGGAAGTCAATTCTTGCTTCTGACTGTGTGGGTCCTCAGGATTGAACTCAGATCTTCAGGCTTTGTAGCAAGTGCCTTTCCCTTCTTGGACATCTTGCAGCCCTACATTCTCTTTGAAGACTGATATTGTACCTTTTTTAAAAGTTACATTTTAGTTGACATATAATAATTATATATTTGTGGAGCACAGTGTGATGTTTAATACATGTACACATTGTGGAATGATCAAATCACAATAATTAACATACTTGTCACTTCAAATACTTATCTTTTCTTTGTGGTAACACTTGAAGCCTTTTCATTTAGCTATGTAAATATATAATGTATTGTTAACCGGAGTCTCTTAGTTGTGTAGTAGAATATCAGATCCAACACATCTAACTGTAATTCTGTACCCAGTGATCAATATCTGCATTCTCACTCTTACCTCTGTGGTAGCCATCTTTCTTTCCTCTACTCCTGGGTTCAATAATTTTAGATACTACCTATGAAGGAGATCAATCATATAGCATTTGTCTCTTTGTGCCTGGCTTACTTCACTTAACACTGTCCTCTAGGTCCATCCAAATTGTCACCAACAATGAAGTCTTCTCTTTTTTAAAGGTCAATAATATTCCATTGTGTCTTCTGTACCATGTGTTTTAATCTATTCATGTGTTGATGGACAAAAGTTGTTTCTATATCTTTCCTAGTGTAAACAATGTTGTAATCTAGGAAAGCTGAAAGCCATACACAGATGAGTGAAAATAAACCCTTACTTTCTAGCACCACACTCATCATGGATTATAGACCTAAACACAAGACCGGAAACTCTAAAACTATTAGGAGACAATGAACATTCCATGACATTTTCTGGGTTAATTTCTTAGATATGATCATAGACACATAAGCAGAAATTGAAAGTAAACAAACGTAATTGTAACATCAATGTTTCCACATAGCCAAAGTAAGATATTATATTCATAATTCTATCTCTGGTTTCTGAAGTAAGTAAGCTCTCATACTTAGTAGATGTTCAATGAAATATTGTGAAACAAATCCTTTGTAAGTAAAGTGGAAAAGTGTGGTGGGGGGTAGTGGGAAGGCATGTGTGTCAGGAAACTCAGGGCTAGTTTTCTGGAAGGCAGAGACTGAAGTGTTGGGCACAGAGCCAAAGGAAGCCATGTTCTCATGTCCTGGTGGTATTCAGATTTGGCTCTGGACAGGAACATCTCCTGCATGCCTGTCCCTGCCAGCACCCCTGAGCCTTTACTTTCCACGGCATCTATTAATGATAAAAGTCCCTGTGGTTTATAATTACCAGTTTGACAAGTTCAGGAGTTCTCTGTTAATTATTATAATTAGCTTTCCACTCAGTGAGGCATCAGGAGTTTAACAACAATATTAACAACGGGAGGACAGCGATCAAGAATTGACTACAAAGAATTGACTGGAAAGACTTCCTTGTGCTGTCAGGAAAACTTACTAATGATGGGGAAATCTGCACAGCAGCTCCCCTCTGCCTGCCTTAACTCAACTGTTGGCTCTTCATTCCCCTTAGGAAGTAAGAAGCAACTTTTATGGCTATTATTCAAAGGCCAAAAGTTTAGAAACAATCTAGGAAGAAAGAAGCCACTAAACTGATGGCTGAATGAGCTTTTTGAGCAGAAACCAAATGGAGATAGCAGTCAGGGAAGAAAGCACATACTGAAGGAAGTTATGTCTTCCATCCCAGTTCCCAAGGGGTGCAGGCACACAGTGGGTGCTAGGGGCAGGAAGAGGCAAGGGGTCTGGGGCTTGTGGGAGAGGGTTTCTTATACTGAACACGCCAGCAGATTGGGAGGCTTTACTGCCCATCTCTCAGTAGGGGTCATTCCACAGTGCTACTCTCAGCATCTCTCATTCAGTTCCTACTACACTCAGACCTACTTCTCCAGATAGACAGCACTCTAGATTCTACCTTTCACCCCAGTGATCTGATGCTTCACCCCAGTGATCCTACCCTTCATCCCAATGATACCACCCTCCACCCCAGTGATCCCACCCTCCACCCTAGTGATCCCACCCCTCCACCCCAGTGATCCCACCCTTCATCCCAATACCACCCTTCATCCCAATGATACCACCCTCCATCCCAGTGACCTCACCCTTCACCCCATTAACCTCACCCTTCACCCCAGTGACCTCACCCTTCACCCCAGTGATGCCACCCTCCATCCCAGTGACCTCACCCTTCACCCCAGTGACTTCACCCTTCACCCCAGTGATCTCACCCTTCACCCCAATGACTTCACCCTTCACCCCAGTGACCTCACCCTTCACCCCAATGACCTCACCCTTCACCCCAGTGATCCCACCCTCCATCCCAGTGACTTCACCCTTCACCCCAATGACCTCACCCTTCACCCCAGTGACCTCACCCTCCATCCCAGTGACCTCACCCTTCACCCCAGTGATCCCACCCTCCACTGAGGGCCAGCCACTCAGTCTTCCGGACTCCATTCTGTCTGCATTTTGGCATCACTGTCTGAAGTGACATTTTCATTTGGGAATTCTGGAACTCATCTGTCTGTAAGGCATACTCTGGATCTCGGTGGAATACTACGTCTCTCAAATAACCCATGGGTAGCCACAGATGCAGAGAGAAATACAACTTAGCAGGAAAGAAGATGTGAAGGCAAAAAAAAAAAAGAGATCAATATTTATCTAGTGCTAGTGATGTACCAGGTGTCATGGTGGACTTTGGGACAGTGATACTCAAATTAGGTTAGATGGAGCATTCTATCTGTGGCTTTCTGACTCTCCTCCTGTCACACTCCTAGGGCCATTAGGGAGTAAACACATGAGGTCACAGCGGGGGACCTGTACTTAGCAAAGAATGGAAACTATCACTAAGTTATTTGGAGATGGAAAAATCACAGTGTTTATGATGCAATGGATTAAAAATGGTGGAAACTGGGAGTACTATAGGAGGAGAGAAGGGTGGACCCTAGAAGGCTCCAGAAACTGAGAATTCCCGAATCTCCAGTAGCTGATTATTTAGTTAGACTCAGTAGTATACACCTTAAATCTCAGCACTGGAGATGCAGAGGCAGGCATATCTCTAAGTTCAAGATCAGCTTGGCTTACAATATTGAATTACAGGACAGCGAGGGCTACAAATTGAGACTACAATACAAAGACTTGTAGGAAGTTTATTGATCCATATCTTCTTTTCCATCCTGAATCATCAAACAGTTACACTTTTCCTAACCCAGCAGAAAGGTTTGTTTTTTGCTGAGAGCTGCTGTGGGTGTATACACCAGGTGATAACTAGTGTTCAACAGGCCGACCTACCACATGAGTGATTCTATGATATGGAGCCCTTGGCAATGCTGTGGAGTTACTAGCTGTGGAAACCAGTTGCTCCTGTCTGTACTTTCTCTCATGAGCCACTTCATTTCTTCCCTAAGAACTTCATTTATTCTCTAAGAATAGCTTTGGGTGTTTTCCCACTGCTTGAATGTTTATCTCATGAAAATATTCTACCTACTAGGCACATATATCTGTGGATAGTAAAGAAGATGACTTTCCATTTATTGTACAATTTTGATATATAGATAACATACTGGAACATGCTTCACAGTTGGATCTATTTGCCCCTCCAGGTCTATAGACACTTAAAAGCCTGCTTTGTTAATTTGCTCTGACTAACTACACACAATCATCTCACTTTCACCTCAGAGAAAGTTTAAACTAGACTAAAGGCTTTTTTTGTAAATAGATCATAAGTTTAAAACTTTACAGCTTGCACAAGGTCAGAGTCACAGATGTCTGGCCTGGTTGCTGTACAGAGCACCATAGGAAGGGCATGCTGGTTTTTTGTCTGTCAACAATGAACCTGTGTCTCAAAGTTGTCACTGGGTACTGTCCCTCCATCCCCATCTTGTCATGGTATTGCTCCTATGCCCTTGGGACCTTATGTTGCCATGGCAATGGCTCTATTCTGTATCACTTACCCTAGGAATGGGCTTTTGACCAATAAGAGCCAACGCTTATAATTTTCTTTATCTCTTCAAAGCTCCTGAAGGAAAAGCATTATTAGAATAGAGGAAGAACTAGCCAGAAGAAGTTAGAAGTGGTACAAGGGAAGTAAAACTATGGCAGTAGAATAAAGAAATTGATTCAGAAAAGAATGTGTGGAGAATTTATTTGCCCTCAGAATTTCTAAGTACCTGGCTTGCTGAAGTGTTTTTTATGGACCCTGAGGGGGCATAGAGGCTGGTTCTCAAAGGCTCCCATTAGATTCTGGAGATAAGTCCTATATTCTGGGAGATCATACTCAGGCAACGGTGAAGGTGGGTGGCATCATTGGGATGTAGGGTGGGGTCACTGGGGGGGAAGGTGAGGTCACTGGGATGAAAGGTAGGAGCAAGAGGTCCACTAGGAAAAGGAGGAGTTGACCATCTCCACCCTGACACTTCCTGTCGTTGTGGTTCCCTCAAGCTAACATCCAGGCTTCTATCCCCCAGCAGGTCAGAGGGCTGCTCTTTGGAGGAGAGCATCACAAAGGAGGATACTCACAGCTGAGCACTGTCCTCCAGGACCACAGAGGCCATGAGGTAGTAAGACCTCACACCAAGCTCCCAGGTGAGTCTTGGTACCTCACTCCAGAGGTTCAGAAAGGCAAATATGCAGTGTCCAAACTAACAGGAAAATTCAGGGTAAGAAAAATGACATGAGGAGCAGGGCAGACGAGTGAAGAAACGCTTGGAAAGTCTCTGGAGAAATGAGGGGAGATTTGCATTCAATATATAAGAATGAGATGGTATGTTTTCCTCTAAAAGAACAAAGAGAAAGCAAGAAAAAAATCTTTTAGAAGTTAAAATTATGTTGGCTAGCATATTTTTAAAGCACAATAAACAGAAGATTTGTGACACAAAAATAATTTCTAAGAAAGTGAAAGCCAACCAAAAAATCTGAATATGTAAGTCATTGTAATTTTCCCTGCTACTTGGGAGGAAACTGAGTATGTGGGGAGCTTTTGGTCTGTTTCCCTAATCACAGTTGGTGAAAAAATTGGCCTGGAATTTGAACCTATGTCTGTGACCCCAGAGCCCTGGTGAAGGCAGACACAACAGTGCTTTGCTGGGGATACTCCGTGGGAGGGGCTGAGGAGGCCGTTAGGGTTGGAGGTCATCATATTATCATTTTCATGGCATTTGAGTAACTATAAGGCAGAAGTTTCAATTTACAGATACATTTAGTCATGATTTTAAGTTCTCCATCCCATGTGTTGAACAGACCTCTGTCTTCTTTCCATCTGATACTGGCCTGAAACCCAGTTAGTCCTTTTGCTGGAACCTTATCTGATACACATTGTCCTTATATCAGACTTAGCTGGATATTTTCATTAAGTGACAAATAGGATAGAGGAGATGGTTATACATTGGACTATTCTTCCCAGTGGATTTAACTATGACATATATTTCCAGTAAGAGGGAAGATGTGGTGTCAGAAGAAACATAACCACTAACAACTGGGATCAGCAGAGCTGCTGACTGATGGGCCTCAGCTGGGGAGTACAGACAGCAGACAGAGACAACAGTCCATGCAGGCCTGATTCCCTTACTCTCTTCTTCCCTCCCTTCCCTTTCTCATCTCTTTCTTTTCCCCTCCTTTCTTTGTCTCCTTCCCTGTAGCGGAGAAGACAGAGGCCAAACTTGTCACCTTGATTGATGAGTTAGATTGAGGACGTGATGTAAATTGTGATGTGACTTATAGTTCCTGAGCTGAAATTGATGAAACTTTCTTCTGAGTCTTGGTAGATCACAGCAACTTCCCTGCCTGATTGCAGGGCTGGACTTCTGTCTGCTAATCTTCTATGAGGACTGGTGTCACAGAAAGAGCCCTGTAGACAAGCCTACTCACAAACAAAAGTCTTGAGGGTGAAGGTGTGCTTCCCAGAGTCAGTTCTGTTCCCAGCATCACCAGACTGGGACATCACTATTCCTTTATGGGAAAGAGTGGGTAGGAGTAGAGGTGGTCCAGGTATGTTGTGAGCATAAACACTCACTGGAGAAGGAAGTGTCAGGATTGGGGACTATGTTTCCTTTAGGTCAAAAACAAAGCCTTGCATAAAGGATGCTCTTTTAAGGGATGGGATGGTAGCTGTGGAGTCCTCAGGAGATACTCATTGAGAGTAGATGTAAAAAATCCCTGTTGTTTGATTTTTACATTGCTCATCCCATGGAATACATTTTGATAAACTGTATTAATTATTTTCTCATTGCTGTTACTACATTTCTGACAAAAAGCAGCTTAAAGAGGGAGAACTTATTTTGGCCCACAATTCAGAGGATTGCAGACCATCATTGTCAGGGAAAGCATGGCAATAGGAGCATGAGGGAGTTGATTGCAGTGAGTCCGGAGTTTGGAAAGAAATAGACATGAATGATGATACTCATCTGACTTCCTGCATTTTTCTCTTATCCAGCTCATACCACAGTCCCCAAGAGGGCAATTGATCATATTCAGGGTGTGTTTTCTCTCCTTCCCCCAGTAGAACTTAATCAAAAAACACACCTTCTGGATGAGCCCAAAGGTGTATTGCCTCTGTTCCAAATCTAGTCAAGTTTATAGTGAAGATTAACTTTTGAAGCTGCATCCTTAGTTTAACAGCCTTACAAACATGCCATTTCTTTTTTTTTTTTTTTTTGGTTTTTTTATGAGACAGGGTTTCTCTGTATTGTTTTGGAGGCTGTCGGTCCAGCCAAGCCTCGAACTCACAGAGATCCGCCTGCCTCTGCCTCCCAAGTGCTGGGATTAAAGGCGTGCGCCACCACTGCCCGGCACAAACATGTCATTTCTAAGTATACCATTTCCTCCATTGCCCCTGAAGTCGCATGTTTATTTCAAAATACGTGTAGAATGCACTTAGTCCACCTCCAGTAATCTATGATGATGTCTAAAGAATCATACTATCAAAAAAATGCCAAGTCTCTTCTGAGACGCAACATAATCTCTTAATCTTTAGCCTCTGTAAAAGTCAAACTATGAGTTACACAGTTCTAACGTACAGTGATACTGAGTAATTATTTCTACTGCAAAAGGGAGGGTATGGAGGACAGTAAGGAAAAGCCAGAAGAAGGCAAGCCTGAATGCCAGCAGGGAAACACCAGACTTGGCCACTCTGTGTCCCACACCTCAGGCTTACTGTGGAATCATCTGCACTTCATCAGACTGCCTAGCCCCACTTCTCCAGTTCTTCTTCTTGCAGTAATGCATATTTTCTCATGAGCTAGCTCCCATCCCTGCTAAAGCTTTCCATGGTGGATTTCCCACAGCCTGGGCATTTCCAAAACCCTGGGGTCTCTACTGAAACTTAGATCTCATCTTCAAAACAGCTTCACACAAATTTCCTTTAGGGCCTCATTCCAAGGGAATTCAAGCATGTCACCCATTATCCAGTTTCAGTAGCTTTCTGGAACCTTGGTGCAAACCTCTATGATCCCATAATCCTTATATTTTTCTATGCTTGCAAAACCAACACGTTGTGGCTGACTCTGCCAAACTTTGCTGTTGGATTAAGATGTACACTTGTCCCCTTCTACCACAGCTGTACCTGCTACTGTATGTGTTGGTGACTGAACTTGGAAAACACTTCCTTGAGTAGTTGTGTTTGTGCAGGAAATCCTTACTTTTCAAATGAGTTGGGATTTTTAGAAATTGGGGTCCTTGGTAGGTGGGACATAGCCCTCAAGGTACCTTACATGGTGCTCCAGGTTTCTTTGTACTTTGCTTGTCTACAACTTTAAACTTGTTAATGACAAGTTACACATTTATCATATCTTCCTGATTTAAATTATCATTATAAACCTCAGTAAATATAGTGAGAAATAACCCTGCCAAAGCCTGAATGTGATGCTGTCTTGAAAATTTCTCAACTCATCACTTTTCATTCAGCCTCTCACAAAATATTAAGACATAGGCAGAGTAGAGTCAGAACCTTTTCCAGAATGTAACATGAATGGCTTCTAGCGCAGTTACCTATAGAACCTGTTTCATGTTATGAAACTAGGCCTCTACTGTCCACATTTCTCTTGGCACTCTGATCTTCTGAACTCCGCCCCCAAGGATGCCCATTAAGCATTAATTATGTTATCCTAGGACTTCTCTAGCCTGCAAGCCCCAATACTTCCAAATTCCTCCCTCAAATGAATTCCAAATGCCTACAAACTGTGTGGTCAGATACCATAACAAGGGCTCCACTTCTGCTATCAATGTTCTGTATTGGTTACCTTTATTATTGCTATGACCAAATACCTGACAAAAATCAACAGAAGAAAGTAAATTTTTCTTTTGGCTCATGGTTCAGAGGAATTCAATCCATCAGGGCAAGGATAGGATTGCAGAGAGTATGAGATCACATTGCATCCTTGGTAGGAAAGCATGCAGAAATGAATGGTGGCTTCTACTTTTTTCTTTTTATCCATTAAATGGCCCCAAGACCAATGGGACAGTAGTGGGCACATTCCAACTGGATCTTCTCTCCTCAGTTAAACTTCTCTGGAAACATCCTCAAAGATGTGAGTAAAGGGGTGTCTCTTAGGTGGTACCAATCTACTCAAATTGACCATGGAGATTTACTATTACATAGCATTGGGAAACTCTACAGGGAGTCATTCCCAGCTTTTCAGTGAGTAGAAAGGAATCTTGTAGTCTAAAGATGTCATTGCACCATCTCCAACAACTCACTTAATCATCTGGGGCCCCAGCTGGTGAGTCTGAGTTAGGCATAGATCCAACTTCTTTATTCACTTTCTAGGGTCTCTATGGAGATCAAAATGCAGCACCGTATGAAATAAAATCTCAAGCATTAAATACTTCAGAGGGAATTCTTGTGATGCCTAGTATGGCAACTATTCAGTCTTGGGGAGCATCTCCCCTGAAGGATCTTCCATAGCTACCTCTCTCTCCTTGTCTCTGACCCACAGAGATATTCAGGATAGAAGCCTTCAAGACCACAATCCTTCCCATCTCTGTTTTCTACCCCCTACCTAACCTTAGTTACACACACACACACACACACACACACACACACACACACACACACACACACACAAGGGAGAGAAATGATTGAAATACATTAGATAACTTTTGCTCAGAAAAGTTCCACACTAAGAAGTCTTAAGACATAGTAGTGATTATAACTTTCCACAAAAGCCAGGGCACCTGGGAACACACACTGAGACAATAGGCTGAGCAAATATTAGACAACTATTACTTTTCTGCATTGCCCACTTTGCTGGATATGAGTGGGTTGACTTTTCAAACACCACATGAGTAAACCAGCCAGTCTGGATTCAAGATCAACATCACATACCTTTCTTCCCTTTCCATTGCTCTTTCTTCTTCTAATTTTCAGAGATGTATACAAAATATTTATCCAAAACAGAGGGACTCAAAAGAGAAAACTGTTTGTGTGATGAATGAATGACAGCCATTGTATGCCTGATACAGGTGAGTTTGATCTCTCTTTTTCTATCACCTGGACCCCATGTTATTTGCAAGTTGCAAGCATACATGGGGGAGGTGTGTCATGCTTCTCTGTATCAATGTTGGTGATATGCATAGCTCTTATATCCTTC